CTTTCCCTATGCTCTCATGGATATTTTCTGTTTATTTCAGAATGGGTGAGAAATCTTGAAAGCAAAGCGTTGATCCCAACACAGAGCATTCTTGAGGAGGAACAGTCCCATAGCATGAAGTTGGAGAGATACATATGGGATGATCCTTGGTTCTCCAGGTTAGAAGTTTTGGGATGTAAAGACCAATTAGAAATGTATCACATGAACCAGAGTACAGCTATGAGGCAAATGGTCTTCATGCAAAAGCAAGTACTGTCTCAAAGAGGCGCTGAGTTCTGTGAACTTGGGGCAGGGTGTAGCCAGAGCCTAAGCATTGTTCCATCTCAGAAAGTTTCTCAAATAGAACATTTCTGTAAGCCTGATACAAATGCTGAAAGTTGGAGATGTAACTCAGCCATAATGTATGCAGATAAGATTACCTGTGAAAATAATGAGTATGACAAAGCCTTCTACCACTCCATGCAACCTGTTCACCCTGCAAGGGTGCAAACTGGAGATAATCTTTTCAAATGTACTGATGCTGTTAAATCTTTCAATCATATACTGCATTTTGGTGATCATATGGGAATGCATACAGGAGAAAAACTATATGAATATAAGGAATGCCATCAAATCTTTAACCAGAGCCCATCATTTAGTGAACATCCAGGACTTCATATTGGAGGAAACCAGTATGATTACAAAGAATATGAGAATATTTTTTACTTTTCATCCTTTATGGAACATCAAAAAATTGGTACTGTAGAGAAAGCATATAAATACAATGAATGGGAGAAAGTCTTTGGGTATGACTCATTCCTTACACAGCATACAAGCACTTACACTGCAGAGAAACCCTACGAATATAATGAATGTGGGACGTCTTTCATCTGGAGCTCTTACCTTATCCAACATAAGAAAACTCATACTGGAGAGAAACCCTATGAATGTGATAAATGTGGAAAAGTTTTTAGGAATCGTTCAGCCCTTACTAAACATGAACGGACTCACACTGGAATCAAACCCTATGAATGTAATAAATGTGGAAAAGCCTTCAGCTGGAATTCTCATCTTATTGTACACAAGAGAATTCATACGGGAGAGAAACCTTATGTATGTAATGAATGTGGGAAGTCTTTCAACTGGAACTCCCATCTTATTGGACATCAGAGAACTCATACTGGAGAGAAACCTTTTGAATGTACTGAATGTGGGAAATCTTTCAGCTGGAGCTCTCATCTTATTGCCCACATGAGAATGCATACAGGAGAGAAGCCCTTTAAATGTGATGAATGTGAAAAAGCTTTTAGGGATTACTCAGCCCTTAGTAAACATGAAAGAACTCACTCTGGAGCAAAACCATATAAATGTACTGAATGTGGAAAATCCTTCAGCTGGAGCTCCCACCTTATTGCCCATCAGAGAACTCACACAGGAGAGAAACCCTATAACTGTCAGGAATGTGGCAAAGCATTCAGAGAACGTTCAGCCCTCACTAAACATGAAATAATTCATTCTGGAATTAAGCCCTATGAATGTAATAAATGTGGAAAATCATGCAGCCAGATGGCTCACCTTGTTAGACATCAAAGGACTCATACTGGAGAGAAGCCCTATGAGTGCAATAAATGTGGAAAATCCTTCAGCCAGAGTTGCCACCTTGTTGCCCATCGGAGAATCCACACTGGTGAGAAACCCTACAAATGTAATCAATGTGAAAGATCCTTTAACTGTAGCTCTCATCTTATTGCACACAGGAGAACTCATACTGGAGAGAAACCATATAGATGTAATGAATGTGGGAAAGCATTTAATGAGAGTTCTTCTCTTATTGTACATCTGAGAAACCATACTGGAGAAAAACCCTACAAATGTAATCATTGTGAGAAAGCTTTCTGTAAGAATTCTTCTCTTATTATTCATCAGAGAATGCATAGTGGAGAGAAACGCTTTATATGCACTGACTGTGGAAAAGCCTTTAGTGGTCACTCAGCCCTACTTCAACACCAGAGAAATCATAGTGAAGAGAAACTCTGTGAATTGAATTGATGAGAGATTTTTCTTTTATTGTACATTTGATAACACATTGAAAAAAATCCTATAAGTATAATCAAGAGGGGAAATTTTTAATAGTAGTTCAGTAAGACTTCTCCCCTTATTAATGAGTAGAAATTATCTTCGTAGAAGAAACCTGTGAATGAAAAGAATAGGCAAAAGCCTTCCACAGTTGTGTAGCCTTTATTTAACATCAAATAATTACAGTGAAGAGGACACCAGGAATCCTACTTGAGCAACATGAACGTAGGGAATGAGACATCTTTTAGTAAGAGATCTCAACTATTTGTGGATCAGAGTTCATTGTTAAGGGAAAAACTTTATCCTAGGAAAAGTGTTTCAACTAGAAATACGCGGTTTTGCATCAAGCTGGAATATTGGATGGAAGCTTTACAATAACATTTTGTGCATCATTACGGAAACACAGATTGTGCTATTATAAGGGGAGGGTCTGGGTGCCCTTAAGGAATAGAATATGGAATACTAAACCTGAATTTAAGGGGAAAAAAAAGTGTTGAAAGGGATATCTACTGTTGATCGAGATTAACCTTAGAAAAGATTAGTAAATGAGATTACTAATGATGGAAAGGTATTGCCCATAAGTATGAGACTGATGTTGTTGGAACAAAAGGTGATACTTAGTTACCCAGTGTGTCAGTGACCATGGTTTACTCATTACTGCATTGTTGGACAATTAGTTTGTAATCTGTTTTAGGCAGTCACTGTAAGTTATAATTATGGATACTGAGTCAATATACATAACAAAAAGAATAAAAAGGACACAAAATTGTATATACATATCTACTATAACATCTAAAAAGTGTATATGCATAACGACTGGAAAGACCCATGGATAAATTAACCCAGTTAAGGGTTTTTTTTTTTAAGTTTTACAAACACATACAGCACTTATCACATGCTAGACTTTGTTTTAAATACTTTTCAAATATTAACTTGTTCAGTCCCCTTAATTCTATGAGATAGGTACTATTATCCCAGTTTTACAAAGGGAGAAACTGAGGCAGAAATCATGAGAAACCTACCTAAGGACACACAGCTAGTTAGGAATAGAAAGATTGTTTGGCTCCAGAGATTGTTTTAACCACTGTGTTGCACTGCCTCTGCAGTGATTTTTTTCCCCTAATGTTTTTTTTTTTTAAATTTTGTCCAGTGTTCTTATAGTAGATATTTGATAATAAAAATCAAATTCCTAAACAATGAGAAGTAAAGTTACCTGGCTTTCTGCCCTGTGGGATTTCGGGTACCATGAGAGCAAAGCTGTCTTTGGAATATGAAGTCTGGATTGGACATTCAGAATCAGTGCACTTTCTGGGCCCTGGGTTCCCTAGAATTTCACCACCTATGACCCTGAAGATTACAGCAGAGCAGGGGCCGGAGGACTCACTGGAGGTTTGGGCAAGTCAGAGGAAATGCCCCTTGATGGGTTTAGAATGCCCTTCATGAGGTGGAGGGCAAGAGACACATCTGCACATGAGAGCACAATTTTTCAAGGTCTCCGTAGAATTCAATGTTTATATTTTCTTTATCTTCTCCAGATGAAGAGATTACTTGATAGTAGGGAAGATTCAGAAGGAAAGGGAGCTAATCAGTCATAAAATGAGGAAGTTTCTCTGAGTGCTCAGAGTGGAAAGGGGGCAAGATGAATAGGAGGACTTGGGTGGCGTTTCTTTGGTTCGCAAATATTTCCTGTATTTCCCTAAGGTAGGGCTATAATTAGGGGCCAGCAGTCCTTCCTGGATGGGTTTCAAGGGCATTGGTTAGAAATCCAGGGTACAGAAGGTTCATATAGTTCTCGAGGGGTCCATGACTCTACAGTGGTTGAGAAAAAGTGGCCTGCTGGTATGGTGGGACTCTGTGCTCACTGTCAGACTCCCGTAGCTGGCGCTTCCATAGGTATGTAACACTGACCCTACCTTAATGTATAGGGGTTGCCCAGTAAAGGTTGCAGGGGTAAATTAATTGGATTTCTTGTGTGATTTGTGCAGAGATCCTTGGGGAGAATAGAGGCAGCACTATTAACCTCTGTAAGAGCAGCCTAATGCATCAAGAGGTGTACTGCCAATATATGGGTATTGTATTTTAATACCCAAAGTAATATACTTTGAACCCAGATTTTCTGATTTAGGGACTACAAAGGATTTTGTAAGTCATACACAAATATTCCACAAGCATCCTGGTAAGTTCTGTAACTGTACCACCAAGCTTAGTATCTTTAAAAAAAATATTTCTAAAAGGACCTCCTGGATTTCTAAAGTGTCCTTCTAAAAGGGTCCCAGACATCTGCTTCCTCCTAGAAGGATTCCCTACCTCCCTACCACCTATTACACAACCGTATGTATGCCCAGGGCTCCCAGGTCCCCTCTTACCTCCCTATTCTAACCCACATGTAGCTCAGTTCATTGCCCTTTTGATCCCCACGCTCCACTCTTCCCCAACTCTGAAACCTGCTGGGCCCAGTTGGAACTCTCCATTCAGCCATCTTCTGCTGTGACTGAAACTTGGGTCTACCCTCTGCACAGTACCTTTTCTTACAATCCTTGCAGGGAGTGGCTGCTTTCTCTCCCACTCTTCTTCATTTGTTGCTTCTAGATTGTTTCCCCTCCCTTCTCTCTAAAACTGAGTTCTGACTCTTGGGACACCAAATTATCATATCACTCCTGCTTCCCTCTGTTGCAATCACCTTATGAATAGTTCACTCTTCCCATCCATAAAGATTTCACCTCTTTCTGTATTGCATCTAAAACCACCCCCATCGTAATACTTCCTAATTTTATTGTCCAGGTAGATGATCTTCCTGTGTCCTGACCTCACAGTTCTTTGACGTGTCTGCTCACGGTTTTGTCACCCACCCTGCAACAGTCACTCCCATTGTCATCCCTAGGACCATTCCATTACCAGTGACTGGAACCTCCCCACCATCAGTTTCAAGTGTCTTTTCCTAAGCTAGTTGGCTGTTTAGTACCAAGATTCCAACAATCCCTTCACTGAATCTTCCCTTACGCTTGCTCCCAGCAGACGAACTTTGCTTCCTGTTTCCCTGAGTGATAGAAGCCAGCAGAGGCCTTGCATGACATCTGTCCACCTTCTCTGCCCACTTTCCATAATTTCCGTGCCTTCCCACTGGTGCCTGTGTATGAACTGACTGGGTTGGCACCAGAGCCTGTCCCATGTCCATTACTCCAAGACATCGCTCCAGCAAGTTTCCCTTATCTCTTGTATACTCAGGTTTTCTATATATAATGGATTATCCCCATGGACATGTAAACATACTTAAAAAAAAATCAAAACAAAAAACCCTCTGGCTCCTGAATCATTCTCTGCTTTGTTTCAGAAAGCAAAATATCTCAAAAGTTGTCTGTTCTTGCTGTCTTCACTTCCCTTCCATTCTTTCTTTTTTTAAAAAAAAAAAATTATTTTTGGTTGCGTCGGGTCTTAGTTGGGGCGCACGGGATCTTTCGTTGTGGCACATGGGCTTCTCTCTAGTTGTGGCACGCAGGCTTAGTTGCCTGGCAACATGTGGAATCTTAGTTCCCCGGCCAGGAATCGAACCTGCTTCCCCTGCATCGGAAGGCAGATTCTTAACCACTGGACCACCAGGGAAGACCCCTTTCCATTCTTTCTTGGACTCACTCCAAAACCTGCCTTGCTGCCAGATGACCTCCACATTGCTAAATCCAGTGGTCAGTTCTGTTTTCTTCCTTGACGTTATCAGCAGCATCTTAGATTCTTAGATAATAGATCATTTCCTCCTTGAAACATGTTCACTTGGCTTTTGGGACTTGCCTCCCGCCTCTCTGGCCTTCATTTTAGGCCCCATTTGCTGTTCCTTCCCCACCTCCTTTACCTCTTACTGTCAGACTGCCCACTTCCCATCTGTTCACAGTGCCTTGATCTCATCCAGTCTTGAAGCCCTGTAAACACCACTGGTATGCTGATGACTCTCCCTTTAAGGCCACAGTTTGATGAGTTTTGAAAAATGTCAACACCCTTGCAATCACCACTACAATAAAAATAGAGAGTATTTGCCCTTCTCCAAAAATTTCCCTCATGTCTTTTCATAGTTAATCTCCACCCTACCCCAAGACCTGGGCAACCACATGTCTGCTTTGTCAGTACATATTAGAATTGTCTTTTAGAGTTTTATAAAGATAGATTCATACAGTATTCTATTCATATGCTACGTTTGTATCCAGATTCTTTTGCTCAGCATGTTTTGGAGGCTCATCCACGTTGTAGCATTTATCAGTAGTCTACTTTCTTTGCTGAGTAGCTTTCCATTATGCGGATGTGCCACAGGTAGTAGTCATCCTGTTCACCTGTAGATGGACATTGACTTGTTTCCATTTCTGGGCTAGTGTAAATACAGCCGCTACGGGCATTCTTCAGGGCTTTTTTGTGTATGCAGGTTTCCATTTACCTTGGGTAAAGACCTAGGAGTGGAACAGCTGAGTTGTATGGTAAGTAAATGTTTAACTTCATAAGACACTTCTATGGGCCTTTTAATCTGATGTCTTTATTCTGTTTTACATTCTGGGAAATTTATCTCTTATTTTTTAATATTTCATTTGTGCCATTTAAAAAGTTTCTCTTTTTAGGACTCCTATTATTTAGATGTCAGCGTATCTGTGTCTGTTGTTCATATCTGTTACCTGCTCTTTTATGTTCTCTAGTTCCTTCTCCTTTCTTCCTTTTGTCTGGATATTTCCTCAGCTTGCTAATTTGTTTCTCAGCTGTTCATTTTGCTGCTCATTTCCTCTATTGTGTCTTCATTTCAACCACTATTTTACATTTCTAATATTTCTACTTGGTTCTCTTTTATGTGTTCTTATTCTCATTTCCTATTGTTACTATCATGCCATATCTCTTTAAATGTACTTAATTGACTAAGTTAAAATTTTGGTCCATCTGTTCTAATATACGTGCTTCTGGTGGAATCTGTAATCCAGTGTGGTGTTTTTCTTTTTGAAATAGTT